GGATGGAACTGCCACTGTCGAGATAAACTGTGTTGGGTCCATCAGGAATGAGGCTCTTGACCGACACTCCTGCAAGATTTGGCTCTGCCACTCCTGTGAGTTCGGCATCTGCCACTCCTGGGAACTCAAACGCAACTTGGTGGTGCTGGTCTTCGACTGATAGTGAGTCGTGGTCTTGGAAATCTTCATAACAGTTGCCTCGCTGATTCTCCCGCTGACGCCGACTGGGTCCACGGTACAAGCAGCGAAATTCATTCTCTGTATCTGAGCTGTAGTCGGAACAGCAGCTCTGGTCATCGTCTTGTCCATCCCGAGGGATCACTCCTTCACATGGAGTTGTGTGGAAGACGGTGTCAGGGAAGGCAGAACGACTCACAATTATATTATGGGTTTCATTATCATACCGCTGGAGGATAAGGTCGGATCCGATGCTTACACCGTCAGGACCTCCCTCGGCAAGCTGATCACGTCACTAGCACCTTTTCTTGGGCGTCGTGACCCGATGCGGCCTGGTATTCAGGTAATCCGATAGTCCTGGCATCAATGAACTCCGTTCCGACCAGGTCATACACTTGATCCACGTCGCTGTCGACCTTTCTCAAGTAGAAGTCAACTCTGTCATGGTCTCCTTGCTTTGGGAACAAGCCACGTTGGATGGTCTTGATGAATTGTAGCAATGGGAACTCTTTGGCTGAGCCTTGCATCACTATCAATCTGATCCTCTTGAGCAACTCAATGGGATCCAGCTTGACTGCATCCTTGTAGTCTCCTAGACCTCTTAGCTTGGACTTCATGGCATCGGTACAGTATGACACCTGGATGGTGGTTGCACCTGTCTTGAGAATGTTCTCATAGGATCGAGTCGACTTGTCATAGATGGATGACTTTGCCTTGTACTCGCTGAGTTCCAAAGCATCGTATTCTTGGGCTTTGGGATCAGTAAGTGATGTCTGAAGTGTAGGCTTGGTCGGTTTGGTTGGTGCCTGACTTGTCATGGTCTCAATGGCCAATGAAGCCAGTGGCACATCATTCCACTCAGGTTTGATCCTTAGGCCGGTCTCTACCGGAGCGACTAAGGGACCGACTAAAGGAATCCTTTAGGTGGTTGTTTAGTTCAAGATTTAGTCACTATCCTTTAGTAATGGTGGTGTCTACCAGCAGATGACTAAATCTCGGACTAAACAATTTAGTCAGTTCTTTAGTCATTTGGACCTGTCTACCCAGCCGACTAAACAAATTGACTAAACAATTCATGGGAACAGTACTGGACTTAAAGGACTCAAAAAAGATTTAACAAACGTGATCACTTGGTGGGCTACCAATATTCTATCAGCATGGTGGATTTAAAGAACTCAAACAAAGACTTAACAGAATTGATGATTACTTTTGAAGTTAACAAGACTCAAGTTAACAAGACTCAAAACTCCCACTCAAAACTCCCACTCGTTCGATCGTTCGATCGTTCGATCGTTTGCACCTCTACTACCGGTATCGGCCGATACTCCTCTTTGATCGTTCGACTACGGTATCGTTTGCACCTCTACTCTATCAGCTCTGTCGCGATGCTCTGATAGTGAGGCTGTGCAATGAGGCTGATTCATTCTTAATAAAGAGTTCTCCTCTTCGATCGTTCGATCGTTTGCACCTCTACTTATCGGCCGATACTCCTCTTTGATTGTTCGATCGTTCGATCGTTTGCACCTCTACTATCGGCCGATACTCCTCATCGATCGTTCGATCGCACCTCTACTCTATCAGCTCTGTCGCAATGCTCTGATAGTGAGGCTGTGCAATGAGGCTGCTGTTCTTTTTTAAAGTGCTGTTCTTTTTTAAAGTGCTGTTCTTAAAGAGTTCTTAAAGAGGCTTTAGTCGTTACGCTCACTCACCGACTAAGCAGCCTCCCGTTAGTCGGTGAACCAACCTTGTGACTAAAGGCTTTAGTCCTTTGGACGTTTAGTCCTTGGGTAGACACCACCCCAAGAGACTAAACTATCGACTAAACCATGAAATATGGCTTAGTCGCTACTTTAGTCCCTCCGGATCGCACCTCTACTCTATCAGCTCTGTCGCAATGCTCTGATAGTGAGGCTGTGCAATGAGGCTGCTGTTCTTTTTTAAAGTGCTGTTCTTTTTTTAAAGTGCTGTTCTTAAAGAGTTCTTAAAGAGGCTTTAGTCGTTACGCTCACTCACCGACTAACCAGCCTCCCGTTAGTCGTGAACCAACCTTGTGACTAAAGGCTTTAGTCCTTTGGACGTTTAGTCCCTTGGGTAGACACCACCCCAAGAGACTAAACTATGACTAAACCATGAAATATGGCTTAGTCGCTACTTTAGTCCTCCGGTAGAGAGCGGCCTTAGGTCCTGGACAATGTGTGTCAGGGTCTCCTCAAAAGGATAATACCTGGTGTCAGCCTGTCCATTTGGATGGAAGAGGAACTGGTGCTTGGGACTCTTGTTCTGGTTCCTGCATGTTGCCTCTTCCTTGATGGTTCTTCCTGAGGAATTAATCCCCTACCCCCCCTAGAAGGTATCTTCCTCCACCGCGACCACCTCTTCCTTGGAATCTCATGGTCTTGCTGGTGTGGTAATGCACTCTTGTGCTTGCTTGTTCCTTGGAACTAGCTTGTGTTCTTGTGTGGATACTCCTGCAGGAAGGATCTCACGACGGGCACTACTCTTGTAGTTGCCTGTAAAAGCTTTTTGTTGGCTGGATAGCCTTCTTTTGTACACTCTTGGTGCACCTGTTTTGGCTGGATAGCCTCTGTCTTTGACAGCTCACGGAATTCCAGAGGACTCGTGGTGTTCTTCTGTGGAGCCTGGTAGTAGCGAACTGCCTCTGTTGGTCCTTATTGCCTCTGCAGAGCTTGCAGTGGTCTTGGTATGCTTGGATGACAACAATGAGTGAGTTACAATGACTCAAACAGTTGCACGGTGTAGTTTTGCTTCTCCGGGATACTTATGAGCTTCCTCGTGATTTTTGTGTTTCTCTTCACAGTAGCACTGTATCACTCGAATCAACCTATCTCACTCAATTCTTGGAGTTAGAAGCTTGCACTGATACTCAGAGTTGCGGCTAGATGTCCTCTATCGATTGATGTATGGAACCTCTTGCTTGCAACGCCTGTGTCGCGACTTATCTTGATCGCCGTTCGATGAGTTCTGCTCGTTATGATGAGACGGATGAAAATCACGCGCGATGACACGATGACGTAATCCTCTTCAACTCGATGAATAACAGCCGGATTTCCTTGCTTCCAGCGAACAATCCGTGTAGCTCGTTCTCCTTGATCAGCTGGTGTACGTGGATCTTTCCAGTTCCAGCCGGAAACTGTTGATCGATCGTATCGTACCTTGTATGCGTGTTAAGATGGGAATTCCCGCGCACGCACCTCTTTCCTGTTAGAGGCTTTTCGATGCTCTTACAGTGTGGCTAGAGCCCTGTTTCTTGCACCTCTGCTCTGTTGCAGGTGTTAATTCACTTGATACCTCTTGGTATTGTATGCTTCAGGTCAACTTGATGATATCAATCTCGAGGTGTTGACTGTCGAACTCGAGATGAGACTTTTGCTTTTCAGTGTTGTTTGCTAGTAATACTGCAGCTTATTGGGGAGTAATTTGGTTTTAGATTAAGCTGAAAAGCAAAAGTGAGGATTTTCTGGTGGTGCATAGCAATTCTTGTGATTGATTTGGATATAAGGACCCCCGTAACACTTTAGACCTAAAACTCCCTTGGTTCCTTGCATGATGAATTTGCATGCGAACCGGACTAGATGATTAATACACGAGTCAATAGTAAAGAGGTGTCAGGTATATTTCCTCCAACATCATCGATGTTCATCCGAGTGAGGTTGTTGATGTAGGCACGAGTTGTCATCTCGCTAGGCTTGCGCATCTTACGTCGCATGAAGCGTTTCTGTTTTTCGAGAGACTTGTAAGGACAGGCTTGTTCGATCACCGCGTTGATTCCAAAGGTGATGTCAGCATCGCTTAGAGCAGGTTCTGCTGCATCGTCCCATGCAGTTTGGACACGAGCCTGGAATTGGACTTCGGTTTCTCCAGAAGCCACATCGCGTGGAGCAATCGCATTCACAGCAATTTGTTGAAGGGCGTTATGACGCACGGCACTCTTTGCAGAGCTGGAAGTCATCTCCTTGAGAAGACGATGTTTGTCGTCGGCACCAGCAAGGTTGAGTCCAACGAAGACCTTCTCCATATTCGTGGCCCACTTGATGGTCTCACGTGGAGTGTTGGAGCCATTGATGATGGCTACCTTGAAAGTGTACTTGGCACTATTTGCGTCTGCAGGAATGGTGCAAAGTTTGTATGTGGTTGCACGAGTATCGTCGACCTCGTTGTCTTCGTCATTGTCGACGAGAGGAAGAATGGGTTTGTCACGCAACTGTTTCTCGAAGTTGCTGAACACATGCTTTCCTTCAGCAATCTTCATGGTGAAGGAATAGGTTGAGGGTAGCTGAAAGCTATTGTGTTTGTTAACAAAATGCAGTACGCTAAAAGCTAGTGTAAAGATCTTTCGAGTGTTTTGTGTTTGAGAGAATGAAAGTTATGAGAGAGATTAGAAAGCTACGAAAACTAATCCATGAGAGAGATCGTTGTGAAGCTCATTGAAGTTGGTCTCCCGTGGGAGGCCTCGAAGTGTGATATCGTAGGTTATGGTAATAACTCTACGTACTCCACGGTCCATTTCCGGAACACGTGGAAACTTCAGCTAGTAGCTGTCTAGTAGCGTGGAAGCTTTCCACGCCAGCTAAATATTTAGAGCGATGTTTCATCGACAACCTAGTATGACTAGCAGTCATGAGAACCCTGTCTCAATGACTATTCGCGAAGGACTACGTCATGAGTCGAACTCAAAGTGAACCCTATCTAGGATCGAGTCACGAATAAGGCTAAGAGCCGTGTATTGCAGAAGCCAACCTTTCGCCCATGTGGGCAGCCTGGCCCCGGCTTCCCAAGGGACATCACCTAGGAGCCATTGAGAATGCTTGTTACACTGTCTGCTCGGATCTCAACTTGACACAGCCACAGCTCAATCCTGCCCTTGCCGCTGACATCCAACAAGGCCGCTGGGTAGGGCTAACAGCTTCCTCCTTCATGGAAGGCTTGTCCCTGCTCAGAATCACTACGGCCATTGCCGACCCTGATTTAACAGCCCAACAGCTGGCTGCCAACCGTGCATTCTCCGTTCTGCACACTGTCACTGGCTCCGATGGCACAGCAACCCAAATGGTTCTCAATGAGAGAGGATTGAAATTCCCCATGATGGTTCAAGCTACTCGGTCCATCACCAACGCGTACTCTGGTCTCCTTGCGGCGCTCTTTGGGAGAAACACAACCCTCATTAGGAACTTTTACGAGAACTTCATCCAGCACTGGCCTACCATGGAGGAAGTGATTTGTACCAACTACCGTCTGCAAGAGAAGCAAGTCTGCATTCGGATTATGGTGTTCCTTTTCCGGATGTTCAACAATGCCTTTTCCAGTTTGTTACGCGGTCCTCGTCCGACAGCGGCCAATCCAATTCCCACACCCCAACGCAATGTACCGTTTGGAGATGTCCTTCAGCACCTGGTACTGGGCAAGATTCACAGTTTGACAGATATCCCGGACACCCTTATGCAGCCCCTGGCTCTCCCAGCTGCCCCAAGTTCGGCACCAGCCCCTGCTCCGAGGCTTACTCCTGGCCCAGCTCCAGCCCAAGTACCTGCTGCTGCACTGGCCCCTGCCGGAAACCCTCAGTGCCAGCGCGTTGACCACCCCAACCAGAATATCGATCTGAAGCAGGCCTCGACGGCCTCTCAGCACCGATCAGTGTTTGGCAACAATGGAGCATTTGCAGACCCAGCTGCCCCTGGCGGGAAACGCATCATCATGCGCTCCAGTGGCAATACAGACCAGCGCATCTGCTTGCCCATGGCTGTGCATGGCGTGTGTTATTCCAATTGCACTGGCTATCACGGAGTGCTCACCCAAGACGAAGTCCGAGCAGTGGCCAATGCTGGGGGTTTGAACATGCAGGGCCTCTGAGATGCAGACCCAGGGGACGCCGACGCTAGGCGCCCTCCCAGGCCACCCAAACTCCGATCCAGCATTCACTTTCCCATCCAGCACCGTTACACAAATACTGTACTGTTTCGCCCTTGGGACACTTCTCGACGACAAGCAGCAGCACCCCAATACACAACAACACAACCAACCCCCACAGTGGCAGCAATGCCACCACCTTCAGCTAGAGAAACCCGTCGGACTCAATTGCAGCAGGATGAATTAGGTAAGCTTGTCGCAGAGAATATGAAAGTGTTATCTGAGGTTGGCTTCGAAGGCTTGATCAAACACGTTCAAGGTCGCGGCGACATGAAGATTGAGCCTCAGCAATTGAACCAACACCCAGCTATCCCCCTCCTGCAACAAGTGGCCACTCAAGGAGTTCCAGCGGTTATGTCTGACACCCCCTGGTCAGATGACCACTTGCACCAGAAAGTCCAGCGAGGATCCCACAAGTCCTGCCAGGCTGAGCTTCAATTCCTCCGCGAAGAGCTGTTGGAGTTCTCCCAGAAGGGCTTCTGGCTGGTTCTCCCTTATCGAGTCATCAAGCTCTTGCGATCTCAAGGCCTTTTAACTGGCATTCGCGTATCCCCCATGGGTGTGATTCCGCAGCGGAACCGGCGACCCCGCCTAATTGTTGACTTGACTTTCTCGGGCGTGAATGATGCCACCGTGTCTCTTGCCCCAACGAAGCCATGCAATTTGGACGCGCTTTGGAAAGAGTTCTATACACCGTTCGGCACTCCAACCCCCGTTTTGGCCCAGTCTATTTGGCCAAGGTCGACCTTGCCGATGGTTTTTACAGAGTCAAACTCAATTGCAGCGCTGTCCAACCCCTGGGAGTTGCCCTACCCAAGTTCGCCAATGAAGAGCAGCTGCTGGCCTTTCCGGTCACACTTCCAATAGGCTGGAAAAACTCGCCTCCTTGGTTTTCGGGCACTACTGAAACGATTGCTGATGTCACCAATGGCTGCCAGCACAGCTATTTTGCCCCCACATCCCTTAGAGTCCTTTGCCCATACCAGACCTCTGGATTTGCCTCCAACAGCACTGCCTGCTGATCCCGAAGCTTCCTCTAGCCCCCTTGCTGCTCCACAGCACCGTCCCCTGGACACTGCACCCCCGGTGCTCCGGCCGTACCAAGCTCCGGTACGCCACACTGACGTTTATGTTGACAATTTCCTGCTGGCCGTCCAAGGTTGTCCCCAAGCCCGTTTGCGTCTCCTCCGACGCTTGTTGCATACAATCGATGCCGTGTTTCGGCCCTTGGATGCCCAAGACCCCTCCTTGCGGAAACGTGAGAAGTTCCCGCAGGGTGATGCCTATTTTTGCACGCGAAAGATCCTGCTAGGCTGGCTCCTGGATACTCTCCGCCAAACTTTGGAGCTCCCACCTCATCGAATTCAGTGGTTGCAAGAGCCCTTTGATCTTCTCCGTTACAAGTCTCGGGTTACCCTCTCCACGTGGCACAAGGTTCTTGGGGAACTGCGCAGCATGTCTCTGGGCATTCCTGGTTCCCGCGGACTGTTCTCTCTCCTCCAGGAGAGCTTTCGGCACACGGACCAGTACCGGATCCGCATGCGGGACATGCTTGACGATTTCGAGCACCTGGCCAGAACCCTTTTGTCCCGACCCACTGAACTCACTGAGCTGGTTCCGGATCACCCTGTTGCAGTCGGCCCTCATGATGCTTCCGGAGTCGGCATGGGTGGGGTTTGGCTCCCAGCCACCACCCACAGTCAACTCTCTCCCATCCTGTGGCGGGCCCGCTTCGACGACACAATTCAGCAGAGTGTGGTTTCCTTCGACAATCCCACAGGGACCATCACCAACTCTGATCTGGAACTGACTGGACTGTTGGCTCACCAGGATGTGCTAGCCCAAGAGTTCTGCCTTCGCGGTCGGACCATTGTGCCCTTGGGGGATAATACACCTGCAGTGGCCTGGCACCAACGTGGCTCTGCCACAACCACTGGCCCTGCTGCCTACCTTCTCCGACTCAACAGCATTCACCAACGCCACTACCGCTATTTGTCGAAGGCAGACTATATTCCAGGCCCAGCCAACCAGATGGCGGATGATTGTTCTCGTTTGTGGCATTAGAGTGACTCACAGCTTGTTGCTTACTTCAATCTTCGTTATCCCCAGCCCCAACCTTGGCGAATTGTCCAGCTGCGACCCGAGATGAGTTCCTCTCTGACATGCGCGCTGCAAACGCGATGGCCCGCACTGGACTCTCTTCTCGGCGCGCTGCCGACAAGGACCGTCACTGGTGGCTCTGGGAAACGTGCATTGCCACTCTCCCCCAAGTCGACCCCTATCTCAATTCCATCCCACCGAGCCAACACGTTTCTTTTCTCAAAGTATTTGCCAGCCGAGTTCAGTCCGGTCGCCTCACTGCCAGCGGTCAATCTGTCCGAGCTGCAAGGGTTCAGGACTACATACGGTCGGTCCAACCACCACACTGACCCACGGTTCAACCTTCACAACACCCTCCACCTAGAGCTCCACAACCTTTCCCGCGCTCACAAGAAAGCTGACCCGCCTCCCGACAAGACCAGACCGATTCCACTCCAGTTGCTCCAACATGTGTTTAGTCAGCTTTCCCACTCCCCGGTTCACCAAACCATCCAAAACATGCTGCTCCTGGGCTGGTTCTTCCTGTTGCGCCCTGGCGAATACACCTACTACTCCCGCAACAACCACCCCTTTCAAGATGTCACCTTCCAAATGCCCACTGGCCGTTACAACGCTGCAACCGCTCCCCTGGACCAACTTGCAGCAGCCACCATGGTTCTGCTTTACTTCACCACCCAAAAGAATGGTGAGGCCGGTCAAGCAGTTTCCCGCGGTGTTACTAATGATCCCTTGCTCTGACCCGTCCAGGCTACAGTCCGACAAGTGCTTCATTTGCGGCAATCTGGAGCCCCTCCAGACACGCCCCTCTTCACTGCCTTCACCAACGGCACTGCCACATCCATCACCGCCCAAGACTTGACTTCCACCCTTCGACGAAGCTGCAAAGACATTGGTTCCTCCTTGGGGCTCCAATCCAAGGACATCAGTGCCCGTGCCCTTCGTAGCGGTGGTGCCATGGCCCTCATCCGGGCCAACATTGATCCTCTCCGAGCCCGCTTGATGAGCCGCTGGAAGTCTTGGGTCATGCTGGAATATCTCCATCACTCCAGTCTGGACACCTCAGGGTATGCCACCAGCATGCTCCAGGGAGGCACCTTCACCATCCCTGCACACTGCTTCCTGCCGCAGGACGCACAAACCCTGCTGGTGCCCGTTCTGGACTGATGCTTCAGTCGTACACGACAATCTACTTCACCCAGGGGCCCTGCCCCTTTTCCCCATTTCATTTCCCACCCGTACACCATTGGCCGAGCTCGAGCTCTCTTCCAAGATGTCGATGGCCTGGGGGCCCTGGTTCCCTCAGGGCATTGTGTGGGGGTTGTGCCCCACCTTAGTAGAGCCCAACTTAGCCCAATGTATGCGTACATTCATTCATAGATGACAAAGGCCAATGCACTCATGGAAGGGGGCCCTGGTCAGGGTTCGCTAACCAGTTCTTTCGGTTACCGGTTATTTGACATTTGGTTACCGGTTGTTCGATTTGGTTACGTAACCGGTAACCGGCAACCGGGACCTCGCGATAACCGGTTACTCAACCGGTAACCGGTAACTTAACGGGTCGTTTATCGACTGTTACTTTTGGTACCGGTTACCGGTTACTTTACGACCGGTTACCGTTATCGAACTGTTACCCGCGTTTATTTGTCGGTTACTCGAATTTTCGACCACTGGCCGTTTCCCTCTCATAAATTCGCCAACCAACCAATAGGGTCAACCTATGTCCGTTTGGTTACTCGTTTGGTTACTCATTTGGTTACTGGTTATTCGTTTGGTTGCCGTCCAACATACCGTCCAAGCCACCGTCCAAGCTAGCTAGCTAGCCATCGTCCAGCTAGCTTGCCACCTGGTTACTCGTTTGGTTGCCGTCCAACATACGTCCAAGTGTTCAAGCTAGCTAGCTAGCCACCGTCCAAGCTACCGTCCAAGCTAGCTTCGTAATGTCCGAGTCAAGGGTATTGGACGATTTTGGAGCCGCCCTGAGCATAGCCGATGGCGAGAACAGCACAGGTCACTTCTCCGAAGAAAACCGAGCCGATGCCGAGTTTGTCGAAGGCAACTGGTTCAACGCAACCTGAACGACGACCTGGAAGAAGAAAAAGAAGAGGAGCCTTCGACGAAGAAGACATATACGGCCCCCCAGTCGACAAGTAGTTGAAGTCAATGTGGTTGAGGATCAGCCCGAGAACGAGGACGAGGACGAGCAGACGAGCAGGACCAAGACTTCCAAGAGGACGAGGACGATGATGACGAATCCACATGAGGATCCTATTGAACAAGATAGGAGCAGTTGACAAGTGGGATGGTGACGCTACTTTCCCCAAACGGCACTATGACGGCACCCCCTATCATCCTGCCCCTAAAGAGGAAGGAGATTTCCTTTGTGTGCCGAGCTCTCTGACCACTGTGGGCATGAAAAGGACCCCCCACCAGCACATGGACATTGACGATTCCTCAGCAGAGTTGGTTGACCGGTTGGCAGATGGTTTTCCCGAGTATGGAGCCGACGTGAAAAAGGAATTCAACAAGATCCGTCTACTGGCAATGATGCTGAACCCGTTCACCAGAGGAACGGTCCTTGACGAGGTAGAGACCTTGAGTGAGCACGTCGAGGAATATGCCAAGGACAAATACAAGCACGTGGCCACCGGTGTTCGGGATCTTGCCATGAAGGAGTTGAGGCAGGCGATTGAAACCTTGTGTGACCAAATGATGAGTGACGAAGAGCCTGTTCCTGCGAGCGGCGCCAGGCGGAAGAGATCTCTCTCT